GCCTCCTCTCCTGCCCCTGTCCAGTGCTGTGCTGGAGGCTGCAGCTAACCCCGATACAGCCAAAGACAAAGTAGGGAGGAGGCTGAACTGAGCTGGGTTGGGCTTCTGAGCACCTCTGAAACCTCCTGCTGGCCCCCGGGCAGTAAGGCTGAGACAGGCCCTGGTTTCGGGCCAGCAATTTGTCCTGGGGACTCTTTCCACGCACCGTAAGTCACGGGCAGCCTGCACAGCTTCTCCAGGAGCTTACTGACTTCAGTGCAGGGAATGGCTGGGACGGCCAAGAGCATAGATCAAGCGCTTCGCCGCAGCGGGGAGAATGTCACTCTGACCCTGTGCTACATTTCCTGCTATGCTGCCTGGAAAGAGAGAAGAACCTTCGTTACCTGGCTGCTAATTGGAGTGCAGCAAGCGGGAGCCGCTCTCCCCATGGCAGCCGATAACAATAAGGCACCTGGAGCCCAGTTCTCGGCTGTGTCCGCAACAGGCACATTTCCCCAGCATGATTTTCATTAGAACATCTCAAAATTATTAGTGAAAAGTGCTTTTTAATGGGAAAGGCTCGTCGATTCCCTCCCACCCAAGAAAAAAGTTCGTTTCCTTCCCAAACGTTCAGATTTCTCAGTGAGACAAACCAAACTAAATACAACCAGGCCTCTTGGGGTACTCTACACTGTGGAGCTATTTCGGGATACCGGAAGTATCCCAAAATAGCTATTCCGTGTCTATTGAAGCAGCCCATTATTTCGAAATAGCGGCTTGTTCCGACAGCCTGGCAACCATCGTTCCATGAGAGTTAAGGAGCATTTCGGAATGGAGAATTATTTAGAAATTTGGCACTGTTTAGATAGCGCCAAATTACAAAATAAGCTATTTCGAAATACACTCAAAATAAGCTATGCAATTTGCGTAGCTTATTTTGAGCTACGGATGCAGTGTAGACACACCCCTGGATTCAAATAGAAAATATTCATTCCATTTTGGTTTTCAAAAACTGCAGCAGCTGGTGTCTTTGGCCAGGTCTATACTCACAGGGAAGGTCGCTTCCGTCTGCTTTTCTTACTCCGCACAGAAGCAGGAGTACCAGCCACTGGTGGGGGAACTCTCTGGGTTCGATTTAGTGAGTCTTAACTAGACCCACTAAATCGAATGCCAGAAGATCGATTGTGGCAGTGTCGATCTTCCGGCTGGTGAAGACATAGCCTTGATTTCTCTCCCTTCTTTCAGCCCTGCAGCACCCATTGTTTCCTTTGTGGGATCCCACAAACATGAACATTCAAACCTGAAAGGGAACGAGAAACATTTCTATTAGAAAGGAAACAGAAGGATCATTTTTTTAAATTAAAGATTTTTCATTTCATTTAAGAGCTTGATGCTGGCAGGGTCGTAACATCCCTTCAGGCCTTAACAATCTATGGGTGAAGTTCTCAACTATGACATTAATAGAATCTCGCCACTGAAGTCTGCGAGACCGGGGCTGCTTCTAACTTTTGCCCCCAAAGTGGAAAATTCCATGAAATTCATTAAATGAACTTTTCTGACTTGTGGCATGGCTGTGGACCATGCACTGTTGTCGCTTGGCTGGCAGGGCGCTCAGCTGACTGTAGACTGGCCACTGATATTTTAACCATTGTTAGCACTTGTCAGACTACATAATGACTAAAAAAACCCGGTGCTGTGATAGCCAGTGCACGCTGTGGGTTCCAGCATTGCTAGCACGAGCAGAATCGCAGTGGGAGATACCCACGCATGCAAATGTCTAGAATGAGCCCTTGAGGTGAGCAGCTAACTCTCTCTGACCTTAACTGAAGGTGGATTTTGCCCTTAAGGTCATGTACCCTTACAGAATGTCACACTCTTCTCTAAACTTCCACCTGAGGCTTTTTTTCTTAACTTCAGCTTTTACTGCCACTCTTTTATCTTAGCCTTTTGGGGTTGTATCTTTTAAAGGCCGCAGCGCATACAGAAATGACAGACGACCTACCGCCTTTGAGAAAAAAATATTATTATGGGCAGGACGGTTTAAAAAGGAAGAGGATATTCCCATGCTAGTATCGTAAGTAGACCTGTTTTTTTACATTGTCAAAATCCCCACCGCTGGAAGTATGCAAACACCGCCTGTTCCAAACCTTCCTCGCATGGTCACTCGCCAACAGTACATCTGTATAGTCAGTGATCGTTCTTCGACTATTACATCAGGGCTGCTTGACAGTGAATGAAATGTTTGAGTGCGTTGCTACCTCTGTCCAAAAATAACACAAACCCATCTTGCGGCCGTAGCTCTCTTTTTGCCAACCCCGTGAAGGAAACTGGAGTCAGTCGCTTTGTCGATGAGGAATTTCAGACGAGGACAGAAGCTATTTTGTAACCTACATTGCTGTGTAGCTCACCGATCACTGTGCGTGGCCCCCGGGCAGTAAGGCTGAGACAGGCCCTGGTTTCGGGCCAGCAATTTGTCCTGGGGACTCTTTCCACGCACCGTAAGTCACGGGCAGCCTGCACAGCTTCTCCGCGGGGCTTATTGACTTCAGTGCAGGGAATGGCTGGGACGGCCAAGAGCATAGATCAAGCGCTTCGCCGCAGCGGGGAGAATGTCACTCTGACCCTGTGCTACATTTCCTGCTATGCTGCCTGGAAAGAGAGAAGAACCTTCGTTACCTGGCTGCTAATTGGAGTGCAGCAAGCGGGAGCCGCTCTCCCCATGGCAGCCGATAACAATAAGGCACCTGGAGCCCAGTTCTCGGCTGTGTCCGCAACAGGCACATTTCCCCAGCATGATTTTCATTAGAACATCTCAAAATTATTAGTGAAAAGTGCTTTTTAATGGGAAAGGCTCGTCGATTCCCTCCCACCCAAGAAAAAAGTTCGTTTCCTTCCCAAACGTTCAGATTTCTCAGTGAGACAAACCAAACTAAATACAACCAGGCCTCTTGGGGTACTCTACACTGTGGAGCTATTTCGGGATACCGGAAGTATCCCAAAATAGCTATTCCGTGTCTATTGAAGCAGCCCATTATTTCGAAATAGCGGCTTGTTCCGACAGCCTGGCAACCATCGTTCCATGAGAGTTAAGGAGCATTTCGGAATGGAGAATTATTTAGAAATTTGGCACTGTTTAGATAGCGCCAAATTACAAAATAAGCTATTTCGAAATACACTCAAAATAAGCTATGCAATTTGCGTAGCTTATTTTGAGCTACGGATGCAGTGTAGACACACCCCTGGATTCAAATAGAAAATATTCATTCCATTTTGGTTTTCAAAAACTGCAGCAGCTGGTGTCTTTGGCCAGGTCTATACTCACAGGGAAGGTCGCTTCCGTCTGCTTTTCTTACTCCGCACAGAAGCAGGAGTACCAGCCACTGGTGGGGGAACTCTCTGGGTTCGATTTAGTGAGTCTTAACTAGACCCACTAAATCGAATGCCAGAAGATCGATTGTGGCAGTGTCGATCTTCCGGCTGGTGAAGACATAGCCTTGATTTCTCTCCCTTCTTTCAGCCCTGCAGCACCCATTGTTTCCTTTGTGGGATCCCACAAACATGAACATTCAAACCTGAAAGGGAACGAGAAACATTTCTATTAGAAAGGAAACAGAAGGAGCATTTTTTTAAATTAAAGATTTTTCATTTCATTTAAGAGCTTGATGCTGGCAGGGTCGTAACATCCCTTCAGGCCTTAACAATCTATGGGTGAAGTTCTCAACTATGACATTAATAGAATCTCGCCACTGAAGTCTGCGAGACCGGGGCTGCTTCTAACTTTTGCCCCCCAAAGTGGAAAATTCCATGAAATTCATTAAATGAACTTTTCTGACTTGTGGCATGGCTGTGGACCATGCACTGTTGTCGCTTGGCTGGCAGGGCGCTCAGCTGACTGTAGACTGGCCACTGATATTTTAACCATTGTTAGCACTTGTCAGACTACATAATGACTAAAAAAACCCGGTGCTGCGATAGCCAGTGCACGCTGTGGGTTCCAGCATTGCTAGCACGAGCAGAATCGCAGTGGGAGATACCCACGCATGCAAATGTCTAGAATGAGCCCTTGAGGTGAGCAGCTAACTCTCTCTGACCTTAACTGAAGGTGGATTTTGCCCTTAAGGTCATGTACCCTTACAGAATGTCACACTCTTCTCTAAACTTCCACCTGAGGCTTTTTTTCTTAACTTCAGCTTTTACTGCCACTCTTTTATCTTAGCCTTTTGGGGTTGTATCTTTTAAAGGCCGCAGCGCATACAGAAATGACAGACGACCTACCGCCTTTGAGAAAAAAATATTATTATGGGCAGGACGGTTTAAAAAGGAAGAGGATATTCCCATGCTAGTATCGTAAGTAGACCTGTTTTTTTACATTGTCAAAATCCCCACCGCTGGAAGTATGCAAACACCGCCTGTTCCAAACCTTCCTCGCATGGTCACTCGCCAACCATACATCTGTATAGTCAGTGATCGTTCTTCGACTATTACATCAGGGCTGCTTGACAGTGAATGAAATGTTTGAGTGCGTTGCTACCTCTGTCCAAAAATAACACAAACCCATCTTGCGGCCGTAGCTCTCTTTTTGCCAACCCCGTGAAGAAAACTGGAGTCAGTTGCTTTGGCAATGAGGAATTTCAGACGAGGATAGAAGCCATTTTGTAACCTGCATTGCCGTGTAGCTCACCGATCACTGTGCAGTAACCTCTTTTAATTAAGGTGTTTAAGAAAGACACATGACTGTCAAAAAGAAAACGGGGACCATCCATGGCTTTAGCAAAATGATAGCTGAAGCGAGTTTCCACGTTTATACTTTCATTTGCCTGGTTTTAGATTGACATGTCGAGACATCCATGCCTGCTGGTTTTTAATGCTGGTGTATCCATGTGGTGATGGTAGTGATCTCCACTTGCTCCTCTGTATGTGTGTGGTGGCGTGTCGGGGTCCCCCGCCTCCTGCACCCCTATAGTGGCACAAACAGGCTCCACCAGCCAGTAGAACAGAGGGAGGTTATTGCTTCTCCAGGATACAGCGCAGCACAGACGGGATGTGGTTACAGGAGTCAGGGTTAGGGGGTCCCATGGGTTAGGGGGTCCATCACCCCCTCAGCACTCAGTGAAGTCTGTTCCCTTCATGTTTCACAGCCCCGTCCCTTCCAGCCCTGCCCCCCAGCCAGGGGCTGGCCTCCCCTCCTTCCTTTGTTCCTCTCCCTGGGAGGTAACTGGTAGAACAGGTCACCTCCCTGTCCCATCAGCTACTCGGCTGGGCCGTGGTACAGACGGTAACCAGTGGGGGTCACCCACAGCCCAAGCCCAGCAACCAGCAAGGTACCCCCACTATGTCACAGTGTGCTTTTCCCTTCCATCCAGATGTCATTAAAGCCATCCTTCTGCTACAGTTTCCTGAGGGATTGGCTTAAATTGTCCTGCTAAAATGTTGACTGCATGAACTGATGGTCCAAGAAGTGGCCTAAGTCATCTGCAGAACCCAGTAAAAACATCTCAGCAGTGCCTGTGAACAGCTAGTTGTCTCTGGAAAGACTGTACCGTCCTCAGCCTCAATGTCTGGATGCAACTGACCCTTAGGAAGTTTTTCCTAATGCCCAACCTGGACCTCCCATGCTGCAGTTTAAGCCCATTGCTCCTTGTCCTATCATCGGAGGCCCAAGGATTTTTCTCCCTCCTCCCTGTGACACCCTTTTAGACACCTGAAAACTGCTCTCATGTCCCCTCTCTGTCTTCTCCTTTCCAAACTAAACAAGCCCAATTCTTTCAGTCCGCCCTCGTCACTCATGTTCTCTAGACCTTTCATCATTCTTGTTGCTCTTCTCTGGTCCCTCTCCCCAGGCACTTCCCCCGGGCCGGCCAATCCCCATCCCCCACCTGCTCATAGGAACCCTGGGGCAGCCTTCCCTGGGCCCAAGCTGCCTGTGCTGGGGGAAGCCGCAGCAGTGTCTCTCGAATCAAAGATGCTTTCGGTGTGCCCCAGGCAGGTTCCGGGGGCCGGTCACCCAGCCCAGACCCTGCATGGGACACAGCCAAAGTGTCTTTGACTCAAGAGGTGCTTTTCGGCAAAGCTACTGTGGCCGTGGCCGGGGTCTAGGCCTTTTTTAGTTGCCGGGTCCTTGGGCAATTGCCTCCTTTAGCTCTCCAGTTGGCGGGCCTGGCTGAGAACATGGCTCCCTGTGTTTCAGCCATTAAATTGCTCTTTGAGCTCTGCCTCTTGCCTGCTCTCCATGCTTGAAGGGTCCAGGAGAAGGCGGAGGAATGGCAGACAGTCCCTGGTGGGCCCCTTCCGAGGTTTGCTCTCCGTAGCGTTTGGCTAACTCCTTCAGGCAGTGCAGCGGGAGTTGGCTGTTGCCTTCTCATTTACCAATCCCATACGATAAAGCAAAGAGAAGACCCCGGGCTACGCTCCCTCTCCCACCCCCCGCGAAACACCTCTGTTTTTTCCGCCTGCTGTGGGGCTGTTGCCTTCTCATTTACCAATCCCGTACGATAAAGCAAAGAGAAGACCCCGAGCTACGCTCCCTCTCCCACCCCCGTGAAACACCTCTGTTTTTTCCACCTGCTGCTCCCACCTGACCAGAAATCTGTTCTGCCCTTCTGCAGCTCGGAGGTCATCACAGCCGCCATGAGCAGAGTGAGGATCCGAGTTTGCTACATCACCATGGCCCTGACACTGCTGGGCTGCTTGGCCATGATCATCTCCGGCAAGCGAGTAAGTGGGGTTTTATGCCGACTGCTCAGCAGCCGCGCTGGGTGTCCAGGACAAGTGCACGTTCCCCTTAAGAAATACCAGGGTTGTAGAGCAAATACTTGTTAAGCCCTTTGCTAGGGCAGGAGTGACTTACCACCGGTTCCTGGCTCTAGTAGGGGAGTGGTTCGAGACTTCTTCTTTCTGCTTGACTCTGCAATAGCCCATTGCCCTGCAACTGAGAACCATTGTTTCTATGTGGCTCCATACAGGACCTCCCCCAAACGAATGGACCTCGATGGGCTTTGGCTCAGACCCTCAGTGAGACACCGTCTCCATTTCTTTCAGGCCACTCAGCCATGGCCAGTGGGAGAAGGCTCAGCTTGGGAAGCCCCGCCCCTTCCACTTGAGGCCACGCCCCTTCAGCAACCCTCCTTTGTCGTCCCCCTTCTCCCCCGCCCCGGTGGAACCAAGCCCTGCCCATCCCCAACCCAATCCTTCCTGGCCACCTGGAGGCTTGGAGCGCCATGCCATGCCCCAGCCTTTCCCAATGGCTATCAATTGTAGGCATTTTTGGGAAGGCAACGGCTTCCCTTGCCTACATTAGCCACTGCCAATGCGCTTAGCCCGTTCTTCTCCCAGTGCTGCAGGCTCTCACTCCCCACTGAACCAAGCCCTGCCCATCCCCAACCCAATCCTTCCTGGCCACCTGGAGGCTTGGAGCGCCATGCCATGCCCCAGCCTTTCCCAATGGCTATCAATTGTAGGCATTTTTGGGAAGGCAACGGCTTCCCTTGCCTACATTAGCCACTGCCAATGCGCTTAGCCCGTTCTTCTCCCAGTGCTGCAGGCTCTCACTCCCCACTGACCAGACCCCGCCAAGGAGTTGTCCTTTGCTGGGGCATCTCTCAGCAGCTGTTAGATCTTGCTACTGCCTGTCTAGTGGCGTCCATCCAGCTCCTCGGTCTAGTAACTCAGGCACCGGCTGTGTACGGTGACCGTCCCTTGCCGGACTGGCGTGACCCTGCTGATGAATAACAGAAAATGAAACCAATGCCCCCAACACCGTCAGCTCGGCGCAGGTGGGAACAGGTGGCCTCCTACAGGGCTGGGAGATCCTGGAGGTGGACCCAGGTGGTCTAAAGCCTGCCAGTGAAATACATTAAACGAAGAGCACTGGGCGTATGGGACCTGGCCCCAAACCAGAGTGACTCCAGAAGGGGCTTTGCTTCTGGATCGCCCCGTGCTGAAAGTTTGCCCTCCTTGTTTGTTGCTTCTGAAGCCAAGGCCACGAGACTTCTCTGCTCACCAGGGGCTGGAAGTGTTGACAATCAGGGGAGGCCAGGAAATCTGGCTTCAATCCCTTCTTCCGTTGCCAAAACGCCACAGGACATGGGGGTGCCACGGCTGGGGGGAAGGCGTTTATCGTGGGGGGAATTTCACAGTGCCAGTGAGTTTCCTGGTTTATGTTCAAAGGCCGCGAGGCAAGAGGACACGCTGCAGAGGCGCAATCTGGAAAAGAAGGCCAAGTGGAGGGCTGAAGCGGAGACGGAGCTGGAGGCAGGGGCGATAAAAGCTCCATGATCACGACGGGGTTGATGTCCGGCCGCGGGGGATCAGTGATTGGTACACGTGGCCCAGGCTGCTCAGCTACCTCTCGGGCACTGCTTGTCTCCAGTGCTGCCGTGGCAGATTTCCCCATAGAAACCTGTTTATTGATGAATTTTGCAACCCTAGTGGAAATTCCAGCAGAGCCGGGTGTCTGAGCATTTTGCATATGGAGTCAGAAATCAGTAAAAACCAACTTTTCCCCCAAATCCACATTGGCCAGCAAGGAATCAGCTGAAAGAGGCCACGGGGGAGGGGAGGAATATTTCCAAGGTGTTAGCCAGGAACTCAGGAGACCCAGCGTCAATCAGTTCCTTGCTTTGCCACTGCCCCTCGCATGACCTCGATCAGTCACTTACTCTCTTTATGCCTCAGTTCTCCATCTGTCAAATGGGGATAAGAGCATTTGACGACTGCCCAGGGGTGTTGTGAGGACAAACTCATTAAAGATTGTGAGGTTCCCAAATACTTTGGCTAGGGCTGGGCAAGTACGAGTTTTCCCATCCTAGGAAAATTTGTGAGGTTTCAAAAACTTTTCCCATCCTAGATCAGGATGGAAAGTTGAAATCCCAAAAGTTGTGGCGGAGAAAAACAATCAAACCCCACAATACTGGGGAAGGGGGAAATCTAAGTGTTTTTTTGTTTCAATTTTGACCTTTCCCCTTTTTTTTAGAAACTTTTTTTAGTCTCAGTTTACTCACATTTTGAAATGAAGTATCACTTTGATTCACAATTCCCAAAAGTTGTTGGATAGAAGATGCCAAAAGGGGGCATTCTGACCATCAACCGTGTTTTAGCCCAGAAATAGTTTAGTGAAAAATTCCCGTGCAACTCTAACTGCACAAGTGGAGGCCGTATACATTGCTTGGATAGAAAATGTTCTGGAATTTCTGCTGAAGGGTCCCACCGCCCACTATATATTTGAGAGAGATTATCTGTTCAAGAACTCTTCCTAAGTCTTTTGCTCCACTCATGTGAAGAAGTGGATTGTGCCCACGAAAGCTCGTATAAAATTTTGTTAGTCACGAAAGTACTTCAGGATCGCTCATTTTTTAAAGTTCTTTTTAGTGACAGACTAACACGGCTACCCCCCTGAGACTTTCCTCCTAAACGGTAAGAGCTGGGCCCACCAAAATTGGGAGGCAGCTTCCTCTTCTCCTAACGTGCAAGGTCAGGGGTTGGTTGTGCCAGGACAATGGGATGTGCCTGGAATGGGATTTGCTTCTCAGAAGACCATCCCGAAAAGCGACAGCCACACCAGGCGGGTGAAAGGGGCTGGCTGGGGGTGCAACCCCCTCCCTAAGTGGGAGGCCCCCACCCCTGAGCCTCCCATCCCACAGGTGCCCTTGAGAGGTGAGGGGGCTTAAATTCCTCTCCCGATTCCTACAGGATCATTGCTGGCTGGAGCGGGGAGAAAGTGCAGAGTTTTCTGCATTCCTCAGTCTGGCTGGGCGGTGCAGGGGGCAAATGAACTTGGCCCGCCCCAGCCTGGGGACATGCCCCCCTCTCCTGGCTGTGCCTGCTAGAGCTGCAGTGGCCGTAGAGAGGCATTTCTCACCTGGCCCCACACTGCTGCCATGAGGGCCCTGGGGTTCCCCCTCTCCCTGGGGTAGCCTGCATCCTGCACCCCTCCTCCTCAGCCCCACCCCAAAGCAATGAATTCAATGAAGAAATCATTTGAGTTAAGCGCCGGGTAAATCTTCTAGGTCTAAATACAGAGCCAGCTGCTCCATCTGTGCAAGGACCAAAGCAGGTAGCTCTAAATCCGAGGAATCCAACGGTATCAGGTTTGAATCACTTGCTTTACGAGGGCAGGGCAGCACTTGGTAGAAGTGCCCCATGGGAGCCGAGCTGTGGTGGGGAATGATGGCTGAGCTGAATTTTGAAAATCACTGACACTCAAGCCCTCTGTTCACGCCCGCCCCTAATGCCCCCAGACTCCTTGCCGTGGGCATGCATAGCTTCTTTGGGCAGTAGAATGTGCACGTCCATAGCCCAGGGGTGAAGAGCAGGCCAGTTACGGTCCAGCCGGGTGGGAAGGGCTCCACACTCTCTGTGGACCTGTTCTTCATGAGAGAGGATGTGGTGCAGCATAGAGCTGGACTGGGCGGGCACATGTGAGCAGCTGGGCCACAGCCAGGGGATCTGATGAGGCCAGAGAAGATGCATTTGCCATTGAGCAGCTGTGCTGGTGTCCTAGGTCACTGGATCCACGTCAGGATCTTTAGCTCAGGGCACTGACCATGGCAATGTAGTTTGTGTCGCATCGCACTGAGGTTCTTTTTCATTCCGGCCCTTGTCTCACATTGCAGTTCTCCGTCACGTGTGTAGGTTTGAGTTCAGTCAAAATTAATTGTGACTAACTAACGAGTTTCCTGAACTTAGATTTTCTGGTCATCAGTTGGTAACAAACCAGCCGTCCGATCCCATCTCTCATCTTCCTACAGCTGCGTGGAAAGTGTCACCAGTGCCTCTTGGGTGAGGCTTAATGGCTGGGGCAGGAGGCTAATGAAATATTGCACGTGCCATTTCCACAGAAGCGATTACACGTTCAGGCATGAAAATGCACCGCTTTGGACGTGGGAGGTAACGGCCTCAAACCTCCTGCCTCATTCATAACTCTGTGGGCTTCAAGAGACTCCTTCATTGCGTGAGATGCGAGAGGACGTTGCCGAAACAAAGGTACGTTTAGCTTAGTCATAAAAATGCACATTAACCATGGCAACCGGCGCACAACATGATGAATGCACTGCACCAAACTTGTTCCTACTGTGACATCGCCAGTGTCATTGGGCTCACACCAGGGAGGAGTTTGGCTCCCCACAGTGGTTAATCTGATGATGTGTATTGAATTATTTGTATTGGAATCTTGGTTAAAGGCTCCAAATCAACGATGGGCAACCCAGGCTAGTAAGTGGGCCAGATGCATGGCCTCCTTCAGCTCAGTGGCCGCAAGATTGCTGTAGCCAAGCCCGTCTCCCGGGGTAGGGTCGTGTTGCGTACTGAGCTTGCGTCCCTAGAATGTGCGGGGTGTGCCGAGTGAGCCGTCGCGGCACTGTGGTTGGAGGCTGAGGAAGCACCTGGCTCCTGCAGGCAGTGATGCGTGCAACCAGCGTGCACCTCGCTTCATGGGTCCTGGCTTCATGTCTGTGTCACTTCAGTAATACCGGTAGAAACAAAAATATGGACAGAAACCAGCAGAGTGTGGCAACCCAGGTTGCAGTGGGGGAGGTCTAGGTTGGATATTAGGAAAAATTCTTTCCCAAGGAGGGTGGGGAAGCGCTGGGATGGGTTCCCTAGGGAGGGAGTGGACTCTCCACCCCAAGAGGTTTTTAAGTCCTACCTTCGCAAAGCCCTGGCTGGGGTGATTTAGTTGGGACTTGTCCTGCTTTGGGCAGGGGGCTGGACTCGATGACTCCTGAGGTCTCTTCCAGCCCTACGATCCCATGATTCTATGATTATAACCCTGCACGGGGGCAACGGTAAACAAAATGTTTTGTGGGCCGCACATACGTCCTCAATGGACCACATGTAGTTGCCCACCAGTGCTCCAGATCAAATCTTAGGTCTTGAACCAGACTGTGTGTAAACGTAACAGGAGCTCCCAATCCAGACCGCACCTGGTAAGAGATCCAAGTCCTAGAATGGGGTCATACCAAATGTTCATGATCCCCATGGTACCAAGTGCTGTGCTATGGACCGGTGGGGTGTGGGACACTGGACCACCAAGGGCCACTGGGGTTTGATAACTCCCAGCCCCAGTATTATTTAAACATCATCCTCTAAACCCCTAGTCATTTGAAAGGGGAATCTGCCTGAAGCTGCATCAGCTTTTCTGTGCATCTTCTCCGTGCTGTGGAACCTACGCCTAGGCAGCAAGTGATAGATGCAGCCCCGGTAGTGCAGATCCAGCGGAGCTGGGCTGTCCAGAAGCCATGGTTGGGATGGACAGAGGGCATCAGTGTCTGTGCAGTTACAAATTAACATGGCTACCCTTCTGAGTTTCCTCACGGTCTTAGGTCATGCACACAGAACCTCCTGCCTTCTAGGACACAGGAATCGAATCACAGCCTTTAAAAGGTGATTTTTATTACTAAAACAAAGAAAACATACTTGGTTGCTGATGTTACAGAGCAACTGAAGAAAGACAGATTAAAGGCACCGAGAATTGCTTCTCTGGGATTCAGTTTGAAAGTTACAGTGTACGGGGGGCAGTGTGTAGACTCAGGTTGGAGAAATCCAGCAAACCCCAAAATAAAGAGAATAATCTGATTGCATCTGACTAAACGTTCCCTGTTCTACTCACATCTCTGTTGTTCCAGGGTTTAGTCCTTCCCTAGGCATAGATGTCGCTGCAGATCCCATGCCTGTTTTCCTGGCCTAACACATGTCTCCCAGGCTCTGCTCTGGTCAAACTGGCACAGGAAGGTTACTGCTTCCCATTCAAAAATCCACCCTCTCTCGCTTTCCTTTGGCTCTTCTGGCTTCCTGCCAATTCACTTCCTGCTTCCCCAGCATTCCTGGAGACTCACTAGGACCCACTGTCTGTGGTTTTAACCCTTTACAGGAAATTTAGTGAACTGAATGGCTGGGACTTCCAGAAAAGGGGAGTTTCCCCTCCCCATCATCACACAGTGTGTCTAAAACAAGGGTGGCTAAACTAAAACCAGCTGACCTGGGCTTTGACGCTGACAAATCACGGCGCTGCATGAGCGTGGGCTGGTGCATGAACTGTGGGGCCCCGCGAGGGGCCCCAGACATGGCCCCACAGCCTGAGTGCCGTGAACCTGAACCAGCTGACCCAGGGCAGCCGCGTCACAGAGCTCCCTCACCGTGCTTCCAGGAGAAGTGTTCAGAGCTTTGGGGAAGGGGACCAGGCTGAGTTTTCATCACCCTGCGGCACCTCCCATGAATTTGGCCCTCTGTACGGTTGGCTACAGGCGGGAACATTTGCCGAGCTTGGTTTATCCTCACAGACTGGCTAGCTTGCGACACGGTGCTGGGTCTTTGCGTGTACGGTGAAGGCTTGAAGCTGGCTTAATCGATTCACAGGAGGAAGAACCTGTTCTTGGCCAGATAACGGGCAAATCCTCTGTGACAAGCTGCACAGCCGGCTCAGACGCCCACCACGTGAGCTGCCAGCACTAGATGGGACTGCAAACCCCCTCGCATTTATCTGAACTAGAACTTGCCTGGGGCCCATTTGTTAATTCTTATGACTCCGGGGAGAAAAGCAGAGGCAGTCGTAAATATACTCCTGCAAGCTAGCAAATGAATCCATTACTCAACCCACCAACCCTCAGCTCTGTACCTGAAAAATGCAATAGTCATGGGATTCTTGGGTACAAGCGGATCTGAAATCCCCCTCAACAGACAAGGGCTGTTGGCTAACACGACCCGTTTTTAATAATATAATTCTGGATGTTCCGACCTGCTTGCTTTTGGGTTCTCATCAATTATAAATAGAGCGGCGTGATGGTTTTTTTCCAGCCCCTCCTCCCTTTTTTGGTGGCGCTTACAGATTCAGCAACACGGACACACTGTGACTTCCTGGTGGTTTGGCCACTCTTGCTCATGTCAAAAAAGCAAAACAAACCGTCAGAAAAAGGCTAAACGTGTTATTTCAGACCCGTTCAAATTGACTCGGGGGGAGATGCCTAACTGAATTTCATTGAAAAGATTTCAGAAAATGTTAAATGCTCAAAATCAAAATGATACGCTGCTTTAGGTTGAACAAAATGTTTTGTTCAAACTGAAATTACATTTTTTTCAACTTCCAATTCACTGAAAATTAAAAAAATCATTTTTGTTTTGACCCTAAACCCATTTTGCCCCCTTTTGTGATGGTGGTGGTGTTTGGGGGTGGGTGAATGGGAGGGAAATTGCTAGTAAAACCCCCAACACCCTTTATTTGTACAGCTCTAATAATAAATGAAAGAGACATCTGCATAGTCATTTCCAAGGTCTGTTTAGGGGAGGATTCGTTTTAATGTAAAATATTCTGAAAACAATCCTGCGAGTCAATGTCTGACTTGATCTCTACCCTTCATGACAGATTCTTGGCCCAGGATAATACAGTGTCATTTGCAAAGTCATT